GCAAAAAAATTAGCTACATCAACATTTAATTGACGGAAAGATGAAATTGAAAATTGAAGTTGAAGGACGTTTTTGGTGCTTTCTGAAGTTTAAGGATGAATTGGTTCAAAAATAAAAGTTGAGGGACCAATTCAAATATTTAACCTATAAAAATATGTTAGCCACGTCAGTATCACTATTCAATTAATCCTTAAATAGAATAAGTTGAAAGTTGACATCCTTATTTAGAAATTGACAAAGTTAACATTTTTATTTAGAAAAAAATTAAAAATTAACATCCTTATTTAGAAAAAAATTTGAAAGTTGACATCCTTATTTAGAAACTGATAAACTTAACATTCTTAAATAGAAAAAAAAGTAAAGTTGGAATCTTTATTTACACCTTTACTCTTGTATAGGTCAAATCCAATTTTGAGTTTTGGGTCTAGCATATGAAAATTTAAATATTTTCAACACACTAAGTTAATGTGAGAGTGCTTTTAAAATTGTTTGATAAGAAATTAATCTTAAAATATACGAAAATTAATTTAACTTTAATATTAATGACTAATTACTAATTATATTAAATTTATATTACACGTGACACAATCACGTAAAAAATACAACAAATAGTGTTAAAAAAAGTGTTCATAGTACTCCTCATCCATCCTATGGCCTATAAAATGAAGTACAACGCTGGCATGATTCAAGGCCGCAGCATACTCTCTGAAGAAGATGAGACTTTTTTTTCTGTCTGCAAATATATTTATCACTTCGGAAGATATAGATAAACATTTGAATCAATTTCGACTCATAAATTTTGAAGAGTTCTCTAATTCAGACCCTTTCGTTTTAGACACTTCGACCTAGGATTTTAAAAATAATATGCAGACGTGTGCATTGCAACAAATTAAACAACTTTGTTTGAGCAGCTGAACGTAGAAAATTAAACGACTTGGTCTGAATTATTAGACCCAAGTTCAAAGGGATATATACATACTTGCCCTTATAGGCCGATGGGTTAACAGTGTGGCTCCCAATCCTATGGACTGGGTCAATCCCCTTCCCTACCCCTAAATTGCCCTTGTTTGAAAAAAAAAAAATTCAAATGGATATATATATATATATAGCTTGTAATATAATTGTACAGCATTTTCTTCAAAAAGAATAAGATTCACGTGACAATATTATTATATTAGGAAGTATTTCTTAAACTTTAATAACTTGTTTAGTTTGGGGAAATAAAAGGAAGGAGGACAAATTTTTCTATTTAATTAATAAAAAATTTAAGAGAGGGAATGAGAGGAGGAATTTTCTTTTATTTTACTATAATTTTTTTGTATTTTAATCTAATCAAAAGAAGGAAGACGGAAAAAGTCAAACAGGGGTAGGAAAAATATCACAATTTAAAAATAAGAATATGATTTATAGAGGGCAGTATACTCTTAACCAAGAGTTTATTGTTCTATCAATAGTTAATTGTTTGTATAAGATAGACAATAAAAACAACATTTTGTCTTATTTATATAGGGTTTTTTTAATTTGCATAATTAAAAATATATTTTTAGTATTAATTGTCATTGAAAAAATAAAAATTGACATTTATTTAATCAATTATCTAATTAAAATGATATATGTAACATTAGTCATAAAATTAATAGCAAGTTTTGTTATTTTTTTTCTTATTTATTTTAAAAAAATATTTAATTATATTTTTAACTTGTACCTAAAAACACATATTAAATAAATCTGTTTATACATGGTTGATAAAAAATGAATATTATTTTATAGCTTAGAGGAAGACAACTGAATGCTTCCATAATTTAATCAATGTAAACAGAAATTTCAATGTAATGGACCATTTCCAATATGAACCACTACAATAGAATTAATTTCAAAATGAATTTATTAACTGCTGCGAGAATCATGACTAATTGTATTGTTAATTTTACTACTACCGTGTCAGAATAAAATTAATTAAGAAGTTGATTAATCTTAACTAGAAAATATAAAGGACTTAATAATGAGAAGGTGGGATGTGATTATCAAACAATTACGTACGTCCAACAAACTAAAATTCAGAAAGTCTGTGTGGTGCACCAACCATAATCATGCCAAGCAACATCGATAATTTGAATACTTAAAACAAAAAAACTGCAAATTAAATTATAGTTAGCATGTTAATCCATTATAATTAATTTGGCAGGCATGTGTACAAATTTGGATATTTTATTCATTATTTTTTGGATTTTGACCTTTTAAGTTGAAGAGAAAAACACAACCTAGCAAATTTGTCTCCTGTTGAGATGTGATTATTAGATTGTAGAGAAATTTGCCTCCGAATATGCCTTGATGCATCTTGTTCAGCCCTTTGATTATAATGCACTACCAAGTTTATCTCAAAAAACACAACCTAACTCGAAAAGCCTTTTTTTTTTTTTTTCTATTTTCCTTTCAAGTAAAAATTTAAAAGTTTCATATCAAATTGCAAACCATCAATCAATGGATGGAGTAGTTAACATCCATTATCAAGGTTCGTTCATCATTGAATAATTAACACTTTGTAGTTTATACTGCAAAATTTTATTTATTAAAAACAAGTCATACAACATCTACACAAATTAATATTATATAGGTAAAAACTTAAAACCATACATAATACTTTATCCATTTAAATTTAATTTTCTTACTTTCTTTTTAACTAGAGGGGTTCAAAATTAACTGTTCACTTTCTATCGTCAAAGTAACCATTTAAAATTCCTATTACTATTTTCCCCTTATTTTAAGAAGAAAACTACAACAAATATTGAAATAAGAATCAAAGTTTACAATCTGATTTGCGTCAAACTACCAAACAAAAAGAGTTAAATAAGAGTAAATCCCCCAATAGTAGGGGACCATACCTTCCATCTAAAGGTTTTAGACCGCACAACAATTTTCTGTATTGAAATATTGAAATGATATACTTCCAATGGCATAAATAATTGTAAGTTTATATTTGTGACATATCATTGAATGGTAGATACAAATAATATTATGAGTAGATCCATGAACAAATAAGTTAATGCAAACTTACAAATATAATTAGGAGATTTCATACAAATAATATAATGACACAATCTTTCAAAACCTTTCTAATAAAAAATGTGACATTTTTTTCTTACTAATCAAAGTTTTCATTTTCAAAAGCTTCTAATAAAAAATATGTCCTTAATTAAAATATGTTTAATACCAATAACTTAAATAGTTTAATAATAATTTCTTTTTAATAAAAATAAGAAGTTTTAAGTTTGAATTACAGAACATACATGTGAGGTGAGTTAAGAGACAAAAGGGTGTTGCCTCCCATTATACAATCTAAAATTAAAAGAAAAAAAAATCTTTAATAAAATCACAAAGATCATATCATTAATTAAAAACTTTTAAAACATAGCAATTTTATTAATAAAAAAAATGTTATATTCTTTATTTAGAAAAGTTTTGAAACATCATCTAAAATAAATAATCTCTTTGAATTAGAAGATCTTATGATTACATAAAAGATATTTTTGGGGTTAGACTCAGTTGAGTGGGTTGGATTCAAGCTGCTTAAGAAGTCAAAAACAGGCAAAGGAGAAGGCATAGGAACTAATGGATATGGGTTTTGCTTATTTGTCAATTAATTCTGGCCCCTATAGAAACTTTTTGAATCCAAATCAAAATTTTTGGGCAACAAAGAGACGGCAACCCCTAATCCGGTATCCCCATGGAAGCAGTAGTTTTAAAATTAAAAAATTCTCTGGGTGAAGCATTTCTCTCAGTCTTACACCTCCTTTGACCCTCTCAAACCAGATATGATCAAACCAAAACCACAACCTTATATATAGATACCATCTTATGTTTTATCTTATTACATAAAGAGTGTATATGAGGAAGTTCGTAGAGAAATAGGATTCTCAGAATTGTGTAAATCTCAGTTGAGTGTGTGTTGAAGTCGAATTAAATGGAGAAACAGGGGAAACAGGGGAATAACAATATGATCTTGAAATTTCTACCCAAGGCGGTATGCGCCGTCGCCTTCCAGAGCCCGCCTTTCAGTCCCGGCAAAGACAAGAGATTCTGCGGTCCGATTGTGTCAATAATTCCCGATGAAGCTCGGAGAAAAACGTCGAAGAATGAAAGTTTTGAAACGCCAGAACCCACTTCCCCGAAGGTGTCCTGCATGGGACAGATCAAGCACAAGAAAAATATCCGAAAAGCTAAACGTGCAACAGCGGCGCGTGAAGGAAGGGATCATAACAAGCCGGTCTCTTCTCCTAAAGAGGTGAAGAAGCATTCGTCGGCAGTTTGGAGACTGTTTACCAGCTCAAAGCCGCCGAGGAAATCTGATGTGCCAGATGAAACTGAGCGGTCACATTCGGAAGATGCCCCGTCATTGGCACAGATGAAACGGTTTGCCAGCCGCCATGATACGCTTTCTGGGTTTGATTGGACGACTCAGATTGCAGCGGTGGAAGGCGATCATCGCCGGAACTGCTATTCCGACGGAGATCAGGGAGGCAAGGGAAGCGATGGAGAAGAGGAGGAGGAGATTACTTCTTTTTCAGTGCCGATAATGGAGGCTGGTAGAGTGCCGCTGGAGCCAAAGAAAGAAATTAATCTATGGAAGAGAAGAACCACTAACCCACCAACTCCTCTTCAATTGAATCGCATGGTTAGAGAAAATTGAATGTCTTTTTATCCATTTGTTTTTTCGTTAATTATAGATTGTAAGTACATGAATAATTCATATAAAAATATCTCTTAATTTGTTCATAAAATAAATATTAATTAAACACATCTCCTGGTTAATTTCTTAATTCATTGTTTAAGCTTTGGGAGATTGCTTTGAAATTAATCAAGTGTTTATATTAATTTTATTTTCATCTTCCTAAGCCACCACTTAAGCCCTATTTTTTAATTCATTTAGAGTATGATAAATTGTACGTGATACAAATTACAACAATCAAGCACAATATAAATTTTAGAGAGAAAAAAAAGGGGGGGTTAAAAATTTATCATTTGGGGAGGATAACATACAACCTCAGTGAAGTCTTATTTTAATACTAAACAATTGCTGTAGTATGATGTTTGTTTTCAAATCAATTTGGGCAAAAAGAGTGTTCTAAATTCAAGCAGAATTTTTTTTTCTAAATGGGAATTTATTTGCTTAGTAGTTGCAAGAGTGTAAAACTTCACCATAACTCCATATTAAACTTTACATATTCTATTGAAATCTTGTCGGTCTAGAATTGAGTTCATAAATACTACATTGTTTGTTTTTATTCTCTGCAACTAGAAAATGACTGTTATTATGCATTCATAATGAAGCCAATGTGGAAAAATTCAAGCAAATTAAGTTGCAGGAGCTTGTGCCGAGCAAACGTTTAACAGTTAACGGTCGATATAATTGCATATAATTCAACGTTATTTTCTCTCTCACGCACACA